CGTTTTTGGTGAAGCATTCTTGCACCACGGGTAGGTCAGAAGCAACGATAACGAGACGGTTGCCGAACCATAGAGAGAAGACTTTGCCATGTTTTTTGGACAATCGAGTGAAATAACGGTGAAAAGGCTGTTCGAGTTGCAAGAGGTTTCCTACTATAGGGTAAGCAAAAGGCCCTGGAGGAAGGTTTCTGAATTTTCTAGATCCAAACAAGACCTTAAGAGAATAGAGAAAAAGTACTACCACGAAACCATAATATAACAGAGCCATACTGAACTTTTGCTTCTGCTCTGATTGTTGAGTCTCATCTCCCATCCTTGCCTATTTATAAGGCTCCACAAAACATCACCAAAAGAAAAATAAAGAAAATGGAAAGAAGAGTCCATTATGGTAACCCCAAAACTCAAATGATTGTGAGCTGGCCTCAGTTTTTTTTTTTTTTCTCAATTCTTTATACAACATGTGCAAAACGCCTGTTACAACTAATATAAATATAATTTAAAATATTACCAGGTATTTTTTTCTAAAACTAGAAATACCTAGTACTATAATTCAAATTAGGTTTCAATAATTAACATGACAATTTCAAATCTATCTACCAACCTCTACCGTTCTCTCTCTTTTTTTCTGCTCCTAATACGTGCGTTCAACCCTTCCATCTTGTCTCTGGCTCTGTCCTCCATCTTCACCCTTCCATCTTCTTTGTCGCTCTCTCCTCCATCTTCTATGTCGCTGTGTCGTCCATCTTCTCTGTCGCTCTGTCCTCCATCTTCTCTGTCGCTCTCTCCTCCACATTCAAGCCTATTGTTGTTGTGTTTTCGCATTTGGAAGGCAGGTGTAGTTTTCTGTCTGGTTATTTTGTTGTGGATTTCCCGTCTGGTGGAGGAGGCGGTGGAGCATAGTTATCCGTCTTTGTTGGTGTAAGTAAAAATGGCCGAGTCTTGACATTGTCTTTTACATTGTGTTTTTGGTGTTTCATTAAGCTTATTGATATAACGAGTGTGGAAATGTTATCTTGTTAGAGCCGTTTCAATGGAAGGGAAAAAACCAAGTGTAAGAAAAATTGGAATTTTGTGTTTATATATTATTTGATTATCGTATCAATTGTAGTTATTAATAAATTGATCATCATTTTTTTGTAGTGGCGGCTTCTTATCTCGATGGAGTCATCGATCATTATTGAAATGAATCGTTTACTACAAAAGTGTCATGTGGAGCGGATTAGGATGACTCCATTTATGTGGTGTTTGAATATTCAAAGCCTTTTGTGGAGGTGAATTTGAAATTATTGAAGGTTATGGTTTCCAGGTGGGTCGGGCATGATAATAGTTTTAGAGTAAGTCAACAGTTGGTGCCCTTTTCAGTTATTGATGTGTTCATGAGCATATGTTTAGAGATAGGTGGTTTAGAGATTCTGTTTGATGAAGTAGTTGTTGGATTGGCTGGTGAAATGTTCAAATAAAAAACTATCAGTTTGAAGGACTTGACGGACATGTTTAATGTCATTGTGCATGATAATAACATTGATGTTGATGTAGTATGTAGGTTATATATATTAGTTTGTTTGGTAGTTTTATATTTTCCTAGGAAATCAAGGCATGTATGTAACATGCCTTTTGCAGTGTTAGATGACTTAGAAAATTTGTGTCTATACGATTGGTGCACCGGTGTACATAAACATATTGTAGACAATTTAAATAAATGTAAGAAGAAAATTATGAGAGCAGGTATCGCGCAGTCACTCACTCTTAGTGGCAACGTGGCAGTGTTGCAGGTAACATGATTTGTAGTTTATTATTTTGATGTACTGCAGAACATTGTGAGTTAGGTTTGATGAAATAATATTATGATATTGTAGGCTTGGGCGGTTGAAAGACTTTCTTTGCATGGTCATGCTTCACACAGGTTTTTCCCGCGCATAATGCGATGGTTCCCGTATAAATCAAGGACCGAAAAAATTGAACATATATTTAAGACCGGAGATGTAAGTGTTTTGATATTCGTTATTTTTTATGTAAAAATGGATTGTGTTTTTTGTCAAAATTTGTTGTGTGATATTGGAGCAGTTAAATATGGAGTGGTATGTACGAAAGGAAGATCGTCGTCATCGCCCGGAAATCTGTGCAGCTTTCCACATGGATGACGGAGGGATGAGTGAAGGATCCTTGGCTGAAGGACCCAAGGTTGAGAAAGATGATGACGAAAGCTCTGATGACGGGACATGGGAAGCAGGTGCCGAGGAGAGATTGAGGAAAAACAATGAAGATCTCAGAGCATTGAATGCCAAGATTGGAGTTCTTACTAGGGAGTTATTTGAAATTTGTCAAACTCCAATCTTTACTGAAGAAGATGCATGTGGCACTTATGAAGAGGTTGGTGGTGGAGTTGATGAAGCAGCTGAAGTTGGAGGTGACGAGAAGCCTGAAGTTGGGGGTGACGAAGAGGCTGAAGTTGGTCGTGATTGTGGATTTGAAGAAGAAGGTGATGGTAATGCAGTTCATGACCCCCTAGGTGCATATACTGAAGTAAGAGGGAGGATAAAACTACACATGATGATGAGATAGTTTCAAGAACTGTTGATAACATTGTTTGTATTGAAATCGATGATGATGGTGATGAAGAAGAACGGGAGGTCGTACCATTGGTTATCCCCCCATTGCGCAGTTTTGTTGGTGATCCAAGCACCACTGTTGATGTAGACCAATTGTACAGAGCAGTCAGCGTCAGAGAGATGACCGTATACAGGTATATGCTTTGAATTGTAGTTGTGGTTGACGAATCTGTATTGTTTGTGATTGACTAATATTTTTATGTTTAGGGTTGTAAGCGAGATAATTGGGCAAACCTTGAGCATGACTTCATTTTACACTTTGGCCCCGATAAAATACGTTGATAACATGGTTAGTATTCTGACATTTGTTTGTGTTTCATGTTGTAGTTTACGTTAGTAATGTGATAATTTTTTATTGTGTAGGTGGTGTTATTTGCTTGTACGATGTTTATGTACTTTGAGAAAAGGTTGTGCGGTGTTGTTAGGAGGATTCATTTTAGTCCGTTATACTCGGTAAATAAAATTTGATATGGTATGATATATTTCATTGAAGAAATGAATTTTGATTGATTTTTGATTGATGATTTTGAAATTGTCCGCAACACCATATTCTTACTGATTATAGGAAACGTCCACAGAATCGTCATGTTTGAAATATTACAGTTATCCATTAAATACTTATAATACTGTTAATATAAATAACAGTTATCCAAATCCCACTACTGCTTGTCTACTTGTTTGGACGTTGATGGTTGGTCAGATGGAGGTACAAATTTGCGGAGGATGTCATCCACATTGAGTTTCTTCTCTGCCCACATAGGGAGTCGAATGACAAGTTTTGGGGTCTCCTTAACAAGGTCAATTGTTGGAGGACAAACTTCAGCTGGAAAAACCTTGACTATGGACCGATGCGTAATATTGAGGTAGTAGTTTTGCCGAAATGAAGTGAAGGGGTGGACCTAGATGTACAAACCAAATTAGTAAGAAGAAGAACACTGAAACACCAACGAAATATTTATGCTAGTTAAGTACAAATTGGATGGGTTACAAGATTGAGTAGCATAACGCAACCAACTCCAATATTGTCTGCAATTTCAGGATCTTCAAGAACTTTCTTGTGCAAGGAAGCCTTCATCGTGGCAGTTGGGTCCTTCAGAACTTGGTATAATAAGTTATTAATGTACCATAACATGTTGTGTTGTTGAATAAAGGAAAAATTACCTTAAGAGTCAACTGCATATCTCCCAACCCATGTGGCTTGCACTCTTTCAATATGCAAGCAACAAATGGAAGGACCTCTGCTGATTTTGCCTCTTGGAGGGAGTTGACGTTCTCGAATTTTCCATCCGTTACGAGACCTATGACAATAAATATATGGAAAGAAATTAAAACTGGTGAACATAATAATATTGTTGGAAGCGTGTATGAGATTGAGTGTACCGTGGTGTTCAATAAACATCTGTGCCCATTTCCAAGCATTGGAGTTGAAATCTCGTTCATAGGTTGCGTCAGCAACATCACGAGCAAATTCTTGTGTCGATTTGGGTTCTTCTGTTCCCGTTCTATTTAGGAAAGCTGGTTGGATGTTACCTGTAGGACCAGGAATAAGCGATGTCGAAGCATCGCATTTTTTCAAAAACGATTCAAGGACATCATAATCATAAACAAGGTCTTCCCATGCATCCATGATTATGCTGAAATTTTCTGTCCACATTAAAAATCGACGTTAACGACTAAACATGAATGGGATCATTACATAAGTAACTGACAACTCAAACAATGGTAAATGGGTTACAAATATTGTCACCTGATTCAAGTGTACACAATGGGTTTGTCCCCGATATTTAAATAGAACTACGTGGACAAAGACATTACATGAAATCAATATAACCAAAAAAAAATTAATTTTATATGTATTTCCATAACGTTAACGTGTTAAAATGAAGTAACATTAATTGTGGGGATATCTCTGATTTGATAGGAAATCTATAAAAGTGAAAAGCATTGATTGTGGGTTATGTGAGGGAGAAACTTTATGCTCACAACATTCAATGCATGCTTTGTGAACGTAAGCAAATACGTGCTTCAGAAGGCAAAAGTAATACCTTTGGCGGTACTACAGACCTGCCTCAACATCCAACGTTAACATTTACCTCCATTAACCAACCACTTGCAGACAACTTACTTTGGTCTTCATTAAAGAGAAGGGCGACAACCATTTTCGGAGGTTTGGTGAGAAGCACATAATGTTCATTTATGGTGGACGTAAATGTTGAAGAGGAGGTTGGTTAGGACCATTTGACCTTCATTAAAGGCCACTTCATATTCCACGGTACGTTTTACTTAACTATTTAGAAATGGGTTTATTTTCATTATTTTTTTACTTGCCACTGGTCATTGTCGTAAGTTTGATGAGTGAATACCATTTGGTTTATCTCTAAAGTGGGTCTAATGTCGACGCACACAATTGATGTGGATGAAGTGAATGAGTATAATGACAATGTTGATGACCGTAATGAAAGTTTAATGGAAATGGACCCAACAGTGCATATGTGTTTTGAATCAATGATTAAAGCTAAAAAATTTTACACAAACTACGCCATTAGAAGTGGGTTTACCGTGCGGACTAGAACTTCTAAAAAAGATAAAGACAACAACGTGTACTACTTGAGAATAGTTTGTTTAAGGGAGGGTAAATATGTGTCTTCCGTCAAACCAGTTGTCAAAACACTTCCAAGTCAAATTAACCAATGTCCTGCTGGGATAACCATTGCAAAGAAGGAGGAGAAGTGGTTTATAAGGACCGTTGTTCTGGACCACAACCATGATCTTTGCCCAAATAACTCCAAACTATTTGCAGCGAATAGAAAGTTAAGCATGCAAGCAAAACACACCTTGGAGGTCAACCATGATGCTGGAGTTAGGTTAAATAAGAGTTTCCTTAGCATTGTGAACGATGCCGGGGGCTATGAAAACATGGACTTCGTCGAGCGGGACGCTCGAAACTACATTGGCCAACATAGAAGATCTTTATGTAAGGATGGTGATGGTCAGGCACTCCTACGACACTTTTCTTCAATGAAAGATAGAAATAACGAGTTCTTCTATGACATTGCACTGGATGAAGCGAATAAAATCTGTAGTGTGTTTTGGGCTGATGCAAGAAGTTGTGCTGCATGTGAAGAATTTGGTGATGTTGTTTCCTTTGACACAACTTACTTAACAAATAAGTACGACATGCCATTTGCGCCTTTTGTTGGAGTTAACCATCATGGACACTCCATTTTACTTGGTTGTGGATTGTTGTCTTCGGAAGACACTGTCTCATTTGTATGGTTGTTCCAATGTTGGCTAAGATGCATGCGTAATAAGAGTCCTCAAGGTATTATTACTGACCAATGCAGGGCAATGGCCAACGCTATTGAACAAGTCTTTCCTGATACGAGGCACAGGTGGTGTTTATGGCACATCCTGAAGAAGTTGCCTGAAAAATTGCACGGGTATAGAAATAATCCCTCTATCAAAACCGAACTACATGCGCTTATATATGATTGTGTTTGTCCAAGACAATTTGAAAACGGTTGGGAGGAACTACTTACCAAACATGGATTGGAGCAAAATGAATAGCTATGTAATTTGTATGAAGAGAGACATAAGTGGGTTCCGTGTTACTTGAAAAAATATTTTTGGGCCGGCATGTCTACGACTCATAGAAGTGAGGGAATGAATGCTTTTTTTGATGGATTTATCAATTCGACAACCACACTTCAACAATTTGTGGTTCAATACGACAATGCCGTTAGGGTAAAGGCGCAGAAGGAAATAGAAGCGGACTTCTCGTCCATGAACACCACTATTGCATGTGGCTCTCAGTCACCGATTGAGAGACAATTTCAAGTCGAATACACACATGCAAAGTTTGAGGAGGTCCAAACTGAATTCCATTCAAGGATGAATTGTTTCATCAAAGACACCTTAAAGGAGGACTTACGGAACCATTACACTATAAAAGAGGAACGAATGTGGGAGGGTAATCGTTTACCAGATAAATTTTACGAAGTTCAATTTCATCCCCTGACACAGACAAGCACTTGCTCTTGCCAACTATTTGAGTTTAGAGGAATTATATGTCGTGATTCCCTCTTGGTATTTGGTCAAGAAGATGTTTACAGTGTTCCCTCACAATACATTTTGCGGCGTTGGAGCAAAAATATCCGGAGAAGACACACACTAATAACAGCATCGTATAGTAATTCCACTAATGAACCACGCATGGAAAGATACAAACTGTTGTGCAAACGTTTTTATGAAATTGCTGAAGTTGCATGTGAGTCTGAGGTTGCTAGTACTGAATTGGAAAAAGAAATTAATTGTTTGGGTAAAAAATTTGGGTTCAGTTCTTCCATGACAAATAACATCATTAGTGATGCAGGCCAACTAAGATACGATACTGGTGCATGCACGTCAATACCACATAGTCCAGTTGGAACATCTGATGTCCTTGTACACAGTCCTGCAACTGTTAAGCGAAAAGGACGTCCACGCACAATCAGGTTGAAGTCCACTATTGAGAAAAGAACCCAAAGAAAAAAGTCAGCTTTGTTCACAAAGACTTCAATACCACCTACCGAACAATGCGTGAGTCATTAATTACCTTTAAAATATTCATTAAATACTTTATCTTGTAGCAATTTTGTTGTACTTAGTAATTGTTTTGTTGCAGGGGGAAAGGGCATCTAATGTTGTTGAACGTGATGACCATGCACAGTTTCAAGCCGACTCTATCCAACTATCACAAGATACCGAAATGGGTCATTTTGGATTTTTGTCGTTGTTGTCAGCTGTACATAACAATTTCGATAACAACTTCAGTTGATTTATACAACTTCTTCGCTGTTTTTTTGTCAATTTATTATGTTTTTGTAAGTGACAATTGTCGTCCATGAAATCCCATTGATGAATGTTTGGAATGCATATGAATACACCAAAATTTGCTATTGTAATCGATTACGAGGTTACAGTTCATTAAAGAAAACCTCCCACTACATCAGTCCGTATACAATGTCTATAAATTGCAATCGTGTACATAACCGCCCAATCACGTCCTTCCTAAAAAACGTTTGCAAAACCTCGCTTCTGTCAGTGCAAAACCCTAAACCAAATTAAATGGGTGATCCTGCAACCAAGAAACAAAAGGCATCTTCTTCCGTTGGTGGACGTCGACGCCGCCGGAGTCCAACCCCGTCACCATCATCATCCCCTCCAACGCCTAACAATGATCTCTTCTCTTCGGATGAGCAACAGGAGAAATATGCCCAACATTTTGTCAATCGTGAAATATTGGAAAGTAAGTATCTAGAGTACGGTTACTTTGAAGGAAAAATTTTTCGATTCTATGACATATTGGTCGAAGCTGGGCTGACTGAATTTGTGTCGTTAAGAAGACATTACCACCCAGAATTAGTGAGAGTGTTCTACAGCAACATGTCAATATCGGATACTGGGGTTATTCGAAGCGAGGTAAAAGGTGTAAAAATTAGGCTCAGCACTAATCTTTTTCAACAACTAACTAATCTCCCCTCTGATTGTGTTCGTTATGAAGGAAAACTTGTAGATGAGTGGTAAGAACAATACGATTCTGTTACTGCAAGGCAAATAGTGTGTAGAGATGATGCAGTCATACAATCCAGAATACTAGCGGGCCAAATGAAGGTTCAACCAAGGATACTTCATTACGTTCTCACTCGAGTATTAATTCTTCGTGCAACCAATATTGGTCAGGCATCCGAAGAGGATATTATGCTGCTATGGACATTTTTCAATTCCATTCACATTAACTGGGGACATCTTATTAGATATAAGATGACAATAGCATTAAGGGAGAACGCAAAGTTGCCATATCCGCATTTGATAACCATCTTCATGGAACACTTTCAAGTGCCTACTAACACTGATCCCATTTCAAAAGTGAAGTTCAAGCAAAAAATTGGTTGTGAAGTTGTAGCATCATTTGGTTATGTGCAAAATGATGAAGGAGAATGGGTTCCCAAAGGCAATGCCCCCCATCCCCCCTTACAAGAAGGTCAACATGAAGAAGGAGAAGATGGAGGACAAGGCAGTTCATCTACAACACTAAATAATGTCATCAACCGCATAGAACAACTTCAGACCTTCGTTGGTACAAGATTTGATGCCTTTGAAACTCGATTTGATGCCCTTGAAACTCGATTTGGGAACATGGACATCGTCATCACTACAAGGTTTGATGCGTTGCAATCGCGCGTTGGGAACATTGAAGAACAACTGCAACACTTGCAAAGTGCTTCTGAAAACAATCCTCAGACTTAGAATTGCTTGTTTAGGCTTTATTTTCTGCATTATAAAAAACTATGTACCACAGTTCCTACTTTGCTAATTTCAAGTCTTTAATTTAATGAAGTTCTTTAGTGTCAAACTGGTTCCTCAATTTTCGACATTTAATATGTAATGTTCATTTTATGATACACTTAATAGAATTGCAGTTGTGAGTAAAACACCAATACCACTAACCAAATATTATATCCCCATCCACCTAGAGGTGGAGTTATGCCTAAAAGTCACTTCTTATGACAATGGTCACACCTGTGACCCTGACTGACTACCTCAGTTCAACTTTCTGTAAAAATCGACAAATTCTCTCGGGTAATCGTTTACTGGGCCTGTGTAAACGATTACCACAGACTTTTTTCAACACTCTCACTCATCCCTTGCACAACTTGGTCCCCCAACTCATGAGGGCTCACTCCAAACTCCTTGGGGTCACAACACATCACCAACCACCATCTTCCACCACTGAAACACCACGAGCTTCCAAACACAAGTGCAAAAGTCACACAAACTCACTCGTTTTGACAATGGTCACCCCTGTGACCCTGACTGACTACATTAGTTCAACTTTCTGTACAAATCCTGAAATTCTCTCGGGTAATCGTTTACCAGCCCTGTGTAAACGATTACCACAGGCTTTTTTTCAACACTCTCACTCATCCCTTACACAACTTGGTCCCCCAACTCATGAGGCGTCACTCCACACTCCTTGGTGTCACAGCACATCACCAACCACCATCTCCCACCACTGAAACACCACGACCTTCCAAACACAAGCTCAAAAGTCACTTAAACTCACTGGTTTTCACAATGGTCACCGTTGTGACCCTGACTGACTACCTTAGTAGAAGTTTCTGTACAAATCCTGAAATTCTCTCGGGTAATCGTTTACCAGGCCGGTGTAAACGATTACCACAAGCTATTTTCAACACTCTTTCACTCATCCCTTGCACAACTTGCTCCCCCCACTCATGAGGGGTCACTCCACACTCCTTGGGGTCACAGCACATCATCAACCACCATCTCCCACCACTGAAACACCACGACCTTCCAAACACAAGCTCAAAAGTCACTCAAAGTCACTTCTTTTCACAATGGTCACCCTCTGACCCTGACTGACTACCTCAGTAGAAGTTTCTGTACAAATCCTGAAATTCTCTTGGGTAATCGTTTACCAGGCCTGTGTAAACGATTACCAGAGGCTTTTTTCAACACTCTCACTCATACCTTGCAGAACTTAGTCCCCCAACTCATGAGGGCTCACTCCACACTCCTTGGGGTCACAACGCATCACCAACCACCATCTCCCACCACTGAAACACCACGAGCTTCCAAACACAAGCTCAAAAGTCACTCAAACTCACTTCTTTTGACAATGGTCACCCCTGTGACCCTGACTGACTACCTCAATAGAAGTTTCTGTACAAATCCTGAAATTCTCTCGGGTAATCGTTTACCAGGCCTGTGTAAACGATTACCACAAGCTATTTTCAACACTCTCACTCATCCCTTGCACAACTTGGTCCCCCCACTCATGAGGGGCACTCCACACTCCTTGGGGTCACAGCACATCACCAACCACCATCTCCCACCACTGAAACACCACGAGCTTCCAAACACAAGTGCAAAAGTCACTTAAACTCACTGGTTTTGACAATGGTCACCCCTGTGACCCTGACTGACTACCTTAGTTCAACTTTCTGTACAAATCCTCAAATTCTCTCGGGTAATCGTTTACCAGGCCTGTCTAAATGANATCATCCCCTCCAACGCCTAACAATGATCTCTTCTCTTCGGATGAGCAACAGGAGAAATATGCCCAACATTTTGTCAATCGTGAAATATTGGAAAGTAAGTATCTAGAGTACGGTTACTTTGAAGGAAAAATTTTTCGATTCTATGACATATTGGTCGAAGCTGGGCTGACTGAATTTGTGTCGTTAAGAAGACATTACCACCCAGAATTAGTGAGAGTGTTCTACAGCAACATGTCAATATCGGATACTGGGGTTATTCGAAGCGAGGTAAAAGGTGTAAAAATTAGGCTCAGCACTAATCTTTTTCAACAACTAACTAATCTCCCCTCTGATTGTGTTCGTTATGAAGGAAAACTTGTAGATGAGTGGTAAGAACAATACGATTCTGTTACTGCAAGGCAAATAGTGTGTAGAGATGATGCAGTCATACAATCCAGAATACTAGCGGGCCAAATGAAGGTTCAACCAAGGATACTTCATTACGTTCTCACTCGAGTATTAATTCTTCGTGCAACCAATATTGGTCAGGCATCCGAAGAGGATATTATGCTGCTATGGACATTTTTCAATTCCATTCACATTAACTGGGGACATCTTATTAGATATAAGATGACAATAGCATTAAGGGAGAACGCAAAGTTGCCATATCCGCATTTGATAACCATCTTCATGGAACACTTTCAAGTGCCTACTAACACTGATCCCATTTCAAAAGTGAAGTTCAAGCAAAAAATTGGTTGTGAAGTTGTAGCATCATTTGGTTATGTGCAAAATGATGAAGGAGAATGGGTTCCCAAAGGCAATGCCCCCCATCCCCCCTTACAAGAAGGTCAACATGAAGAAGGAGAAGATGGAGGACAAGGCAGTTCATCTACAACACTAAATAATGTCATCAACCGCATAGAACAACTTCAGACCTTCGTTGGTACAAGATTTGATGCCTTTGAAACTCGATTTGATGCCCTTGAAACTCGATTTGGGAACATGGACATCGTCATCACTACAAGGTTTGATGCGTTGCAATCGCGCGTTGGGAACATTGAAGAACAACTGCAACACTTGCAAAGTGCTTCTGAAAACAATCCTCAGACTTAGAATTGCTTGTTTAGGCTTTATTTTCTGCATTATAAAAAACTATGTACCACAGTTCCTACTTTGCTAATTTCAAGTCTTTAATTTAATGAAGTTCTTTAGTGTCAAACTGGTTCCTCAATTTTCGACATTTAATATGTAATGTTCATTTTATGATACACTTAATAGAATTGCAGTTGTGAGTAAAACACCAATACCACTAACCAAATATTATATCCCCATCCACCTAGAGGTGGAGTTATGCCTAAAAGTCACTTCTTATGACAATGGTCACACCTGTGACCCTGACTGACTACCTCAGTTCAACTTTCTGTAAAAATCGACAAATTCTCTCGGGTAATCGTTTACTGGGCCTGTGTAAACGATTACCACAGACTTTTTTCAACACTCTCACACATCCCTTGCACAACTTGGTCCCCCAACTCATGAGGGCTCACTCCAAACTCCTTGGGGTCACAACACATCACCAACCACCATCTTCCACCACTGAAACACCACGAGCTTCCAAACACAAGTGCAAAAGTCACACAAACTCACTCGTTTTGACAATGGTCACCCCTGTGACCCTGACTGACTACATTAGTTCAACTTTCTGTACAAATCCTGAAATTCTCTCGGGTAATCGTTTACCAGCCCTGTGTAAACGATTACCACAGGCTTT